ATGGTTGCAGCTTTTTCATATCACCCTGTTGACCCATAAGTTATGTACCCCATATTAAGTATTTCAATAATTTTAACCTCAACTTTTAAGGAAATTTTAGAAATTTGGTATTATAAATTCCTGATAATAGAAGTAGTATATAACACTTGAATACCAGATTTGAGATTTTAAAGTGTTATATACTAAATTTGTTTGTAGTCGTTGAAGATTGTTGAAGATTGTTGATTGCTTAAGTCTGTAGTACTTCCCTTTTGCTTTAACTTCATATTACTTTCTATTACAGAGAGTAGTTTTTTCAAATCGGCCTCTCAGCTCTTTCATCCCAGTGAAGGGAATAGTCAGTTGGCCTTTTCATCTCCAATTCAAATTTCTTCAAATACTCATAACTTATTGTAAAGCTGCAAACACAGAAAACCACATTCCATATACGCTTTTACATTTCATTAATTAGTGTTGCAGTACGTTTACATATAAATGGGTTAGCCTATTGGATTTGGATTAAAATTGTCATATCCACCATTAATACTTCAAATAAATCCTCTTGAAGTCTGTTAACTCTGCGAAAAGTTCTACCGTAAACATCACATTAGATAGACATATATACTTAATTATCTTATTATTTTGAATTCTGAACAGGAGGTTATGAGCATGATACAATGATGCTAGGCACGGTAGGCTAACTTTGAAAAAATTGAAAGAATACAGGTCTACCTGTCAAAAAACCAAACAACTTGTTGCATTGATATTGAATAAATAAATGGAAATCGCGAAAACTGAATAAAAGGTAAAAGTTTCTTTAAAAATCATGATCTGTATATCTCTAAAGGTTTATTTCGCTACAAAAAATTTAGATTTTGTATATGCATACGTTCCCCAAAGCGTTTTGAAAACACCCGAACTTGAATATTTTCTGAACAATTTTTATATTATTGAAAAAATACCCATATATAAATAAAATTGACATATTAAACCAAGAAAAAAAATTAAAATCATATTAGATATAATAGCCCATTATTGTGCCATGGTTATAATCATGGCTCAATCAGAAAGGTTGTTTAAAAAATGCAACTCTGTACCGGAGCCTTATAGTGTCAAATAGGCTTTTAAACATGCAGCAATTGGTTTTATTTATTTTAATTTTTTTAACAAAATGCTTATATTAGGGGAAAACCACAAAACATGAATGGAATGTTGGGTTTATTCCCCAAAATTAAATCTGAAATAGCAAGACAATACTGCTTTGTCCAAGATTTAAACATTTTATTGCCCATTAACACTGAAAATATGAATTTCTCCTGTAGCTAAATTTGAAATAATTTCAAATTATTTTATATTTTATTCAATACAATACACACACAGAATAGGGTCACCAAAAGAAAACAAACTGTATTTAGGTGGTAGCTTTGTTCTACCTTCTGTAATTGTGCCATGGTTATCACTATTAGTCTGTTACAGAACTGAAGAATGTTGAAGTTATTACTGCGACAATCGATTTTCCCTTTATGATGTCGAAAAAAAATTTGGAAAAATAGTAGATTCTTGCATGTTCTGGAACACAGCACATGTATATACATAACCGTATTTACTCCTACATGAAAATTTCATTTACTTTTGTGTATAATATTGAGGACAAATAGGATATATATTAGTACGTGTGATATGAATAAGACATTTGTAAATGAAGATTCCACTTTATAATAAATATAGCTATTGCCATTTGTTGCAAAATATTTTCAGATATTAAACTTCATCTGAAATGAAAACTGTGTCATTTCCACATTGCTCATGCCCCTCCACATGTAAAAATTGAGGTATCGATTTGTAATCACGCTACATGCCACAATAATGACACGAACCTCACGAAATTTGGCATTGAGTCAGGGTCAAAATTGAAGCCTTTAGAGATTGAAATCGATCAAAAACAGATTTTTTCATATTTGGTCATACTTATAGACTAAAGTACAAGTTTGGATGGACACTAATATATGTGCTTAAATTTTGTGAATGAAAGATTGAAACTTTTTGATTGTCCAGTTTGAAATTTCCGGTTGTTTGTGTTAGAGTTTGTTGAACCAAAATTTGATTATAGAAAAAAACTTTTTTGTTTACTTACATAAAAGTTTGCTGGTCACATGGTACAATTAAAGAAGGTAGAACAAAGCTATATCCTAAATACATTTTTTTCTTTTGGTGTCCCTATTCTGTCGAAACATATACACAGTTTGTATGCGTGGGGGTGTATCGTTTTGAATAAAAAAGAAAATAATTTGAAATTATTTCAAATTTAGGGACAACAGAAATGCACATTTTCCACATTAACGGGCATCAAAATGTATAATTATGGGATAAAACATATTATCTCTCTATCTTGGATTCAATTTTGTGACGAAACCCCAATATTCCATTCATGTTTTGTGGGTTTTCCGCAATATGAAAATTTTGTGAAAAAAATGTTACATAAACAAAACCAATTGTTGCATGTTTAAAAGTCTATTTAATAATAAGACACCAGTAGAGAGTTGCATTTTCCTAATTTCCTTGAAGCTGAGCAACCTTTCTTGTTGAGTCATGGACGGACAGGCTTTCAATATGTTTTATAACCTTAGCCATATGGCTACAGATGGTATATATCATTTGAACCGCCCAAATCGTGCTTCACCGAAATAAGGGTTTTAGACGCTAGGTCTCTTTGGACCCAATCCGTTTCAGAACATTTGGGGTCTGTGCCAGACAGACAGACGGCCTGGCTGGCACACACGATAACTCTCTATGGAAGTATCTGATCTGGTCCAAACTTGGTATCGATCAACTCTTTCTTCTACTTCCCCCTCAAGAGGTCAAAATTTTCAAAGATAAACATTTTACTGTCCAAAAAAAGAAAGTTTTCCAATTCCTAATATTTGCATCAGTGTTTTGTCAGGTGTAAAAATGGAATATATCAGTCCACTCCTTCTGGCACCTCCTCCTCAAAGGGTCAACATTTTGAATATCCATGAAGCTCATAAAAAGCGAAATTAACATCTGATTCCATTCAGACTTGGTATATCTCAATATTTCCATCAACACAAAATCTGTTATAAAGATGGTAGAGATCGGGCCATTTCTTCTGGTACCTCCCCCACATATAGTTTAAAATTTTGAAAAACATTTTTGCTAACACAAGATTTGTTGTAAAGATGATATATATCTACGCACCCCCTCTGGAACCTCACCTACAAAGGTCCACAATATTTATTATTTTTATCTGTCAAAACTTGCAATATCTAAATGTTTGCGTACCCAAGGCTTTAATACACCCTCCAGAATATTTTCGGGATATTATTCTGCGTTTATTCTGATGCCACGAGCGGAGAGCAACCATCGGCTGTTATGGCGGTCCACACCATCACCTTGGCCGGCGCTTGAGTTCTGGTGGCCAACCGAAGGTGCACTTTTCAGCTGAACTCTCTGGCAACCAAACACGATCATTTTGTTTGTTTACAAACTGCTGGACAACAAATGTTTTCTCATCGGAGAAAACCAAATTCGGCAGCTCACCACTTTCGGCCAAGCGAAGCAACTCTTTAGATCTTTTGAGTCAATTTTCTTTCTGTTGCAGTGTAACTTCTTGTACTTTTTGGAATTTCAATGGTTCAGCTCACGAGTCATTTTTCGGCCACAGCGACGCGGGTTTCGTTCAAGTCGCATCTTTACTTTTCGAACCATTTCTGCTGATGTTGCAGTTTTCTTCCGTCCACTTCCTTGACGTCGAGCTACGCTACCATTATCACGGTAACGAGCGATGGTACGAGACACAAAAGATTTATTCACATTTAAATGTTGGAGTACTCTAACGATAGCCACTTGTGGTTTTCCGGCCAAATATAAAAAATATAACACTATCACGCTTGAATCCCATCTTCTGAAAAATTCTCACCAAAATGCTTTTGTACGCTTGTAAACAATATAATGAGCTATCACTGGAATAATTTCAACAGCTGTCGGGCGAGTGAATTAGAAATGACACCAGTTTGAAGTTGGTTTCAGTTTTTTCATCTCACTCTGTATATTTCAATAATCGAACATTACCTGAGCGTATGCATCTGTAATATGAGACTTTTGATGAACTAATTTCTTGAACAATTTGAAACCTTGGATGATTAAAAATGTGAATTCATGGCAGAAAGACTAGATCACTAATTGTAGTAAATTTGGATGGAATTCGCTGGTATTTGGTAGAAAAATGTTTTGACACATCAATTAGAATCAAATTAACCATATTTGTAATCATTTTTTAAGAAATTGTTTTATTAAAAATTTTATTATAGACACTTTGGTCTCAAATGCTCTAAGATTTTACTTAAAATTACAAGGGATAAAATTTCAGGACTGGACAGGAAACAGTCCAATGAAAATCGTAAGGCCCATTTCACAAATTATTCACTAGTTAGTTATAAATTTCATATATTACGGTAATTCTAATACAACTTATGGCGAAACTGAAGTTGTTTTTAAGTTATTGATTTTAAAAATGGACTTAAAAGTTTGGCTTATTTAGCAAGCAAGGTGCGTAAATTTTGTGACCAAATTTAAAAACCACAAATTTACGCCTCGAAATCATTTGAAGACCTACGAAATTCATCATATTCGAAGGAACTGTTATACGAAGATGTAAAGATACAGCTAATTCATTCAAAACATCATAAATTGCCTGGAAGCGGTATAAGAAACCAATTAAGACCACACATTTGCACAATTTAAAAAAAACAACATTTCAACTAATAAGAAACTGGCAGGCATGCTGCCACGGCTTACACCTCCTCAATTTTGTCTAAAGAATGTTACAAAACAGTTTCCTCTTAATTATCAAATTTTTCTTTTTCTCGAGTGAAGGTACGATTTTGTGTAAAATGTTGCAAAAATTGCAATAATTCTAAGACGGAGCTATAATCTTCGAGCAGTGTCAAAGCCTCGAAAGTAGCAAATGAACTTTTTATTATTTATAATAAAAACACACCTACCTTTTCATAGTCTCCTTCGTTTTTCGTCTGCAGTGGATTGAGAAGAGCCTGGTTGCATAAATCGTCGCCATTGACACAAGCACTACCGCTACCAGTGCCGCTACCACCGCTTCCGTCTCCACCATTTTGTTGGCTGCAACGACGTAGTCGAGACCTTTTTAGTCTGATGCAAAAGAAAATATTCCCATCCTTTTCGGTTGTTGTGGCCACAGTGCCAGCTGTGCCTCCAACCTCGGCCAAGTCCGAAGATCCTGTGTTTCTTGCCAAACTGCTGGGAGAACAACCCATTTTATTGTAAGTTTGTCTAGGCCCTACTACTCCACCGAGCGAGACTTAACATAAAATTCCGCCTTGTTCCTTGAATTCCCCTTTGTGTATTTGAGAAAAATCACTCAAGCATTACTTGATTAGGCCGAAAGCTTTTGTTTACGTCGCCAAGGGGATGTGATGAATGTCACCTTCGCTCGATTCTCTTGAAATCTTCCCGCCATCAATTTCCATAAAAACGCAGTTTACCATCCAGGAGGTTGGGTTTTCAAATGCTGTTCATGTCCTGGAACGGAGAGAAGAAATGAGACAATAGAATTAATTAAGTGTAGAGTGCAAATCAAGGAGTGAATCAATTCTGGTCCATGCTATGATTAAATGACTGTAATTAATTGATATATCATTGTGAACAAACTTGTTTTCCAATTCGCTATAAAGTAATAACTAAGACAGACTATTATGATTTCATAATCCACTTCTCTAATCTGTAAAAAATATGCGTAATGATAGATGCAGTGTTCGCCTTTCCATGCATTTTTGCAAATAAACTACAGATCGCATATATTTCCAATTGAGATGAAAATTTTCACAAATCATTTTTTTTCCCAAGAACGAATCTTTTTGAAATTAGTGTCAATCAAACCACGTTTGTTTAAAGCTCCTTTATGTACAATATATCCCCTATCTTCGTCCGATTTCTGTTCATTAAATTTGTGATACAGCAGTTTACCGACCTAACGAATCAAGGGTAGTTTACTGAATGATAAGTGAGTGAGGCGATGTTGATATCTCCTCAGCGACAAAATAAAAAAACCTTAAACAAAATATAAAAGTCGGGCGGGCCGACTTTATGATTCCATACACCCTTTTGCGTATTTAGTAGAACTTTATATTACAAATAAAAAATATAACAAATCGGATGAATAATATATGGGCGCTACAGCTATATGTGCACCCAATCTTGACATATTTATTTCTAGGCTCAATTTTGTCGTAAGTGCCAAATTCCATTCTATTTGGGCAAATATTACAACGATCTCCATAACATTTGGGAAATGTATGTCTGTGATGTATTTGATATGTTTCTCCAAATATCGTTGTTACAAAGTGCATATTACGGCTGGGGAGGACAAAACTATCAAATCGGATTAACAATATATACGAGAGCTATAGCTATATCTGAATCGATTTCAATCAAATTTTCAGGCCTAATTTGGTCGTATGTGCAAAATTCCATACTATTCGGGCTGATATTACACGTTTGGTGCACAATAAAAAGCAAATCGGAAGAAGCTATATCTACTTGTGCAAAATTTTATTTGTATCGGGAAATAAATGCAATCTTTACTTTGTTTGCAAAAATAAATGGACAGACGGGCATACATACATCGACTGAGAATACAGATCATCAAAAGGAACTATGGGTTTATCTCGTTTGCTTTTGCCTGTTACAAACAAATACACGAAGACATAATACCCTGGCCACCTTCTGGTGTAGAGTATTAAAACAATAAATGTGAATATAATATTGAATACCGAGAATTTCCACCACACCACAGAAAAAAGGATAGCAGAAAAAGGTTGTTGTTAAAAGAAAAATTAAAAATCGTAGATGTTAACAGAGATGGCAAGTTTTGATTCAAAGGAAAATGGAAATAATGTTATTTTTGTAGTTTCAACAGCCGCTGAAAAGCTATATCCAGACATTACTTATACTACAACACAAAGCCAAAGAGTTCCACAAACATACCATATCCAATTATTTTATTGGTAACTTGGATTTAAATTAAAACTATAGTAAAGACATTGTTCAAAGCCTATAATGTTGTTGTTGTTAGTTGTTATTTCAATAGTTTTTGGGTAAATAAGCCTTGTTGTAAATAGTACTCAGTTTAATGATTTTTTCAGTTTAACGAACACGGCTGACATTATATTGTTCATTTATTCAAAAAAAGAAAAAACAAAAAATACTGAGTTAACCCAAATAGGATTCATTGAAAATCGGTTAAAATGTGTATATGTTTCATTCGATTTTAAATCTTAGTCCCCCAAAAGCGTAATGTTCACTAAGAAAAATGATGATTTTCGATACAAGGTGTCGGAGACATCCTAGAAATAGAAATTATTATTGTAATAGATATTATTGTCTCGTCGTCATCCCACTAATTTTGATAAGATTTATAAAGCTTGTGGAGTCAATTCTTCATTAGACCCCAAATTGAAATGTTGCTGAACTATTTTCCGGTTAAATATTTAGGCTTCAAACGAAATAATGATTTTTCAATAAAAATATTTATATAACAAAATTGATGTGCAATCATAAGAAATCATAAAACATTACTATTGGAATTGTATTGCCCAACAAGTTCTGAAACATATTTTATGTCCTAAATACGTTTCATTTTCAAAGTCATTTCCATTTTCTATCGTAAAATTAGTTCATGTTTGGGATGTCAACAAGTGCCTCAATATTTGTTCTCGAATATGCCTTGACACTGATTGGCATCTAAAACACAGTTAATTCTGTTGTTTCTTTCACATCCCCTACCACATTCATATGTCCAGCCAGTGCATTTTAAGCGTTGCGGTCGGATATAAGCAAAAAGATTTAATTAAAAACGTTGATATGTTGGCCACATTCAATTTAATTTCGGAAACAATTGACAGACATCTCTGCGCTGGCAGTGAACATGGTTTATAACACTTTGATTACCCAGGGGAAATAATTGACTGCTAATACTTGTAGGACTAGGTATTTTCATTCAACATGAAAACAATGAACTGTCTACAACTATGAGCAAAATATAAAGTAAAAGAAAGAATTAATGTCTCATCATTTTGAGGTAGCGCATATAAAGTATTCTGATAGTTGGGCTGTTTTGTAGTTTTTCTTTTTATTTGTAAAGAACTACGTTTCTTGAAAGGGGAAAAACACGAGATGTGGTTTAGTTCATATATTAACAATAGTGTGCAGAACATTTCCAACTAGGTTTATTCTGGCATTTTAAACAATACATCAATACGTGCGGAGCTAAAAAATCATTTAAATCGTCCACCACGCTACAGGTTACTATTTGGACCACATAGTCACCGTCAATCATCATATAATGGATTATCTAACCAATTTATGGCAATCATTCCACCCTGTGTCACTTGTAACCGTGAGGATACGTAGTAGAAAGTCTTATGTCGATATTGGATGTTCTTTTTTTCTAGTTTGTCGATTACAATAGGGTTGCTGACTACAAAGAGACTGTTGTGATTTCGAGAGTCGGTGTCTGCAAACGGGGAAACAAGATGAGTGGTCGATGTATCCGTGGTATCCGAGTAAAACAACTCAATTGCAAATAATAGGGTTTTAGTATATTTTAGAATTTACGAAAACAGCTTTCTCACCCCTTATTATACCCTACATCTCAAGGTAGGGTATTATGTTTTTGTGCATTTGTTTGTAACAGGCAAAAGGAAACGAGATAGACCCATAGTTCCTTTTGATTCTGAGTCGTCTGTTTGTCCGTCTGTCCATGTATTTTTGTAAACAAAGTACAGTTCGCATTTATTGCCCTATCCAGATGAAATTTTGAACAAATCATTTGGCCCAAGGACGAACCCTATTGAAGTTGGAGATAATCGGTCAAAATTTAGATATAGCTCCCATACATATCTTCGTCCGATTTGCCTTTTATTGTGCACCAAACGTGTAATATCAGCCCGAATATTATGGAATTTTGCACATACAACCAAATTAGGCCTGAAAATAAGTATAGTAAGTATTTGATCAAAATCGGTTCAGATATAGCTTTAGCTCCTATATATATTGTTCATCCGATTTGTTATTTTTGTCCTCCCCAGCCGTAATATGCACTCTGTAACAACAATATTTGGGGAAATATATCAAATACAGTTCAGAAATATCTTTGCCAAATTTTATCGAGATCGGTTCCGATTTGGATATAGCTCCCATACATATCTTTATCCGATTTCATATTAATTGTGCACCAAATGGGCAGTACAAGTCCAAATTTAAAAGATTTAGTCCTTTGAACTTTAAATTATAATTATAATCATAGCGTGTATGATTGAATTTTCCCATAACAAATTTTAATTGTTATGCGGAGCTCTACTAAATTGGCAAAGTGGTGTAGGGTATCATAAAGTCGGCCCCGCCCGACTTTAAGGCTTTCTTTACTAGTTTTAATATAGAAATGTAACAGAATGTAAATGCTTCTGAAATTTTTAACAAAAAATCACTGAATAATTTGTTGGTATTTTGTGTTCATCCGATTGGTAGTTTGTCACTGTGCGAAGACCAAAAATATATTATATCAAAAATACATTAGACTTAAAACTTTGCATGTTTTGAAAAATGATTTAAACACCATTGCCCAGTGGTTGCGTTCAGGTCCAATTATTTGAAAGGTAAGCCGGAGCAAATACTAAGTACAATTTTGTAGAGTTTCCGTACAATGTCAAAAAACATGCAAAAATTGTGTATGTGTATGCATTTTTTTGAATAATAATCAAAACAATTTTGAAATTCAGAATTTGAAAATTTCAATTTATATTTAACGGATTTGGGGAAAAAAAGATATTAGTTTTTTGCGATAAAAAAGACGTAATCTACCCTATTGTACTATGGTTGGTTCTTAAGGCTTCCGAATTATTCGGTATCCAAATTGAACCCCGCACAAAATTAAATTTTTGGAGATAAAAATATTGTGATAAAAAAAATTGATATTAATTAAGCTAAATCTGTAAATTGGAGAATTGTTTGATCTGCTTGCTAAGACTTGCTTTTTTAGGCAAAAGAATAATTGAATTTAGGTTCACCTATATAAAATCCACCAAATAATTTGAGCTAAGTCAACATAAATTCGAAAAACGAAAAAACACCAACAAATATTTCAACAGCCAATATTTTGACAAAACATGAATATATTTCTAATCAGCAATAAAATATTTATTGTGTTACCTTGTTTAAACGCCTTGATTCAACATATTACCACAGTTTTGGGTGGAAAATGCATATGTTCGGAGCAGGTTACTGTTTTACGGGAATTTGAAAACTCTCTCTTATTGGTAAATTTTACGTTAATTATACTGCATTGGAATTGATCGCAATCTACGAATACACTCTAAACGCGAAATACAATATTTCTAAAATGATTTTATCAACCAACTTCATTGAGTTCGGAAGCTAGAGTGAGCGACGGACGGACATAGAATCGCATGCTGATCACGAATATATATACTACTAGCTGGCCCGGTCCGCGTTGCCGGCCCGTA